TTTACTTTTCAGTGAATGTGTGTGCTAGCTAATTGAGTGCTAAAATTAAAAATGCCATAAAACTACAACCACCCATTCATAGTATAATTATTTTATGACTGCAGAACCTTAGAACTCAGTACCACTCGAACTATGTGGTGATATGTTTTTTTAATAAGATAACATTTATAAGGTAAATTTGGAATGTTTTTTTACTTGTATCTTTAAGGTTCTATATAACTGAAAAAAATGATTTTATATAACTGAAGCATCAGCAACACATGCCATAATTAAATGTTCAATTGGATATCTTCAGGTAGACTATCTTCAGGTAGACTCATGTTCTAGTTATGAAAGATTAATTCAAAATTAGATCTGTGCTTAATAAAGACTGGAAAAAGCACTATAATACAAAATTACAGATTTAGGGTTTAGAAAATTATATTTATGTTATAAAAATAATCCACAGAATATATTCAGCCTAGAAAATATTTAGTATCAACTATCCTTACCTGTGGGCATTAAAAATGTTCTCTTCCATATTTATTTGCAACATGTAGATGCTTCATTACTATAAATGCAGTGGTGTATATATTTTGAGTATCTAATTAGAAAAACCTGAGTTTATTAAATGACCTTGTCTTTTAATGTTTAATAATCCACATACTGTAGTTAATAAGTTAACTGATATCTTCAGTGATACAAATTTACATTAATAGTATGATTAGAAAATTTTTATCACTGTATTATTTTACTAATCTCTTATGCAATCTTTGTGCTAATATTCTATTATCACAAATATGTGCGGATGACATTCAGATTTACTCTCCCAACCCAGATCTGAATTTCTAAGATAACCCTTAATGTCACTTTGACATTTTAAACCTAAGGTAATTGAAATCAACTACAAGGGGTGCCTGGGTGGCTCAGCTGGTTAAGTGTCTACCTTCAGCTCAGGTCATGATCCCGGGGTCCTGGGATGGAGTCCCGCATCTGGCTCAAGTCTGAATTACCTCTCCCCCAGCCACTTCCCCACACTGAGCATGCTCTCTCTCTGAAATAAATAAAATCTTTTTTAAAAAGGCCAAATACAAATTCTCTACCTCTAAGCCTTTTTTTCCACCTAATTTCTTCCTTTATCTGGTTAATGTTCTACTTCTAGTCATCTCTACAGTTAAAAATGTCTTTTGCCCCTACCTTTCCCAATCATATCATTCACTTACCAGTAGAAGACTCCTAAATTTTTTTGTGGTTGCCCATATTCTCTCTCTCTTAACCCACCACACTCCTGCACACACAGATTTTCATTGTTGCTGCAATTTATCTGAGCCAACCACATTGTTCTGGTCTCCTGCCCAAGATATGGCTTGTGTCTGTCCACTCCATGACTCTTTCATATTGTCCTATTAAATGAACTGCCAAAAAAATTGCCATTCATTGCCAATCATTGGCAATATGCCATTCATTTTCTTAAAAAATATCAGTTACTACCCTTTTTGGTCATCAATAATCGGTTTCATGTTTAATCCGTATCTAACCATTTTTAAGTAAGAGAACAGCAAGTACTACAATTTAATCAGATTATAAATTCTGTTGAACACAATAAGCTCCACCAGTATTAATGTTAATACATTTATCAAAGCTCTCATCTTTGTAATGTTAAGAACTTGGTTTTGTCAACACTTTGTATATTCATTGATGCCAAATTGGGATGATACACATAAGGATTTTGATAGGGAAAATGTTCTTGTAAGAAAAATAAATAAATAAATAAATAAATAAATAAATAAATAAATAACGGAGCAAAGGAAGACTGGGAAGCCCTCACATCACAATATCTGACCTAAAGGAAAGAGAAGTGGAAAGGCCTAGTCTGTTCTGGTGCAATGACATTAAAAGCAAGTTCAGGGGAGCCTGGGTGACTCAGTCAGTTGAGTGTCCAACTCTTGGTTTCCACTCAGGTCATGATCTTGGGGTTGTGAGGTTGAGCCCTGCGTCAGGCTCCATGCTTGGTGGGGAGTCAGCTGGAGATTCTCTCCCCTCCTCCAGTTTCTTTCCTCCCCCATCTAAAATAAATAAATTAATTAATTAATTAAAAAAAAAACACAGCAAGTTCAGTAAGGCAGTCAGAGAATCCTTGAGGCACATGACGAGGCATCCCATGACTCCCCGGAATGGCCCTCTTTTAACATTTTGACCACATCTGGTCATTGACTAGGAGTTGCTTTTAGGGAGCACGGCCTTGAGAGCAAGAAGATTTCAGAACAGAGCAACGGGGATTCCCAGTCAATTAAATCTGTAGGTAGAGGCCTGATCTTTTGACCACCACAACCCTGGAAGATGGTCATTTCTTTAAACAGAATATGTAGCTAGGCTCATAGAAAACTTGATTGTATATCAACAATAGCTGTTTTGCTTACACTAAGAATTAACCCATAGTGTCAGATATTCATGTTAGTAAGATGAAGATTTTCTCCCTGTCAGCAGGTTTCTGTCTAGACACTGAATTCCAATCTGCAGATGGATCAGTGAGCACCGACACTGAATAAAGTATTTTAAGTAGACATTTCAAACTTTAATGACACTAGGGTCTGACATTAGCTATATTTAACTCCACACAAGGGCTATACCTACACCAAGAAACATGTAGATCACACCTGGGCCTACACACCTTCCTTTGGACAGGAAAGGAGAAAGCCTGCTGAAGTAAGCCTCTCTTACTGGTCTCTTGTGTTCCATGATGGTCAGCCCCCTCTAGATTTGTTAGTTTTTGCATAAAACAAACCACCAGAAGGCTGGCTTAATGCACCCCTTTATTATTCCCATTCTGGGAGTAAGAAGGTGAATTTTTTTTCAGTCTTCATCCACTTGACTCATGTTGGATGGTCTAGGATGGCCTCACTCTCATGTTTGGGAAATCAGATGGGATGGTAAGAGGGAAGGGGTGACTGGAGCCTCTCTCCACATGGTCTCTCATTATCCAGAAAGCCAGCATGGGCTTCTTCTTTACCTGGAGGCAGAGGTCTCAGTGACAAAAAAAGGGCAAGTTCCAGAGTATGGAAGCACCTTTCAAGTCTTTGCTTTTGTCACCTTTCTTCTTGTCCAATTTGGCTAAGACAAATCACATGGATAATTCCAGAGTCAGTGTAATGGGATCTCTCTAAGGTATGGATGCAGGGAGGCCTGATCAAATTGGGAATTATTCTTTCATATTGTCTGATTAATATGTTTGTCCTCCCTGTCCCTTATTTCCTCCCCAGCCTCCTCCTCCCCCTCTTCTTTATGAGTATATGATACATAAGACTACATCCACATTATTACATTTTCTGATTCTAGCATAAAAGTAGAATTTACATATATTGAATTCATCTCCAATTTCTTAGTTTTTCAATTTCAGGGTTGCCAACAATGAAAATCTATCTCGTTTTACAGTTAATAAGGACCCTGAGAGTTCATGGATTTTCTTCAGATAAGAAAACAAAATGATTCCCCTTACCAATTAGGAATATTACATCAGGAAATTACAGAATTAGTATTTCATTTTAATGGTGGCTGGTCAGTTCACTAAGAAGTAGCAATTCGTCCCATTCCCTGATCCTAAGGAAATAATAGACATGTTTATTCTTCAGTTTGGTGGTTGCTTGAAAGTGAAAATTAAGAAGTAGAAGTGGAATATATATATTACAGTGGAAACTGTAATTTTCTACTGTATAGCTCTCTGTCAGCCAAGTCAGCCATCCTGAAGAGGATGAACATGAAAGCAACATGTTAAAAATAAGAAGATAAATACTTTGGAGTGACTAGTACTTCTGCTTGTAATCCAGGCAATTTTTGGAGCATGACGTAAAGCTGTGCATTAGAAATCCTTGTAGGCTGAATGCATCCCTGCCTTTTTCTGAACAGAGGTGGGTGGGTAAGGATACAAAGTATTTAGTTAATACTACTGTAACACATACATGCAGAGCTAAACGGACAACATTGGTAAGAGGATATACTTGTGTTTGGGGGCACACAACTGGGCTTCAAACATCATTTCTTTCAGCCTTCCCTTTACAGATATTTCTAGTGTCCACTTCTAGGCCCTTTTCCAGCACTAGCAAATCCACTACCATGATTTCACTTAAACATATATTTACTGAAAAAGAATTTAATCAGTGGCCATTTGGTAAAAAAAAAAAAAAACAATTATTCAATTTTGTACTATTCAAGCAGGGGTGTGTATGGGGGTGTGGGGGTGTGTGTTAATAAAAGGAGAGACAGGTAAGACTGATACTTGTTTTTTAAAGAGTATTCGTTTAGTGACTCCAATCATTTCTTAGGGCCCATTAAAATGATGGACATATTTCCACACTGATGAAAGATAAAGAAAGTCCCTTTGACTTTGACTGAATCTCTGGTTATTGCTGTGAAATTTGCCTTTCGCTGTGGCAATCTTTCCATCATCCCAATGCTAGAACGCCAAAAATCCCTTATGTTTAAGTATTGTCCGTCAAGTTGTTTGGTTGGATCACGCAGCTTCTCAGTTGTATGAAACTTTGCTCTGTGGTTTGTCCTTCTTTATGATTTTAACACAGGGTCTGCTTCAGGCCTTGAGACCACCCCTTTTTGGTTTATGCATCAGGAGGTGTTTGAGAATTATGCAGCCATCGCAGTTTACACATACCATCCCGGGAGAGCTGTTTTTCAGTATTCCTTATGCTAATTACCACTTTGGTATATTCCACGATTTTGTTCTGTATTGCTGTCTTTCCTTTTCTGGCTAACACATCAAGTGATATCCCAACACATTTCATCTGATTTCCTGCTGAGTACTTCCTTGATAAAAGAAGCAACTTCAATTTCTCTATATTAAAATAGGAATTTAAAGTATATACACTTTCTACATCACTTTAGATTTTCATATATAAGACTCCAGAAAATGGATGAAAAATGTCCTTTTGTATTGTTTTTGTTCAGCTCTAAGAACCCCCATGCCCCATTTTAACTCATCAGGTCCTGTTTTTTTGTTTTTGTTTCTCTAGGACTACAATGATGAGATTCGTCAGGAACAGCTACGTGAATTATCTTACTTAAATGGCTCAGAGGACTCTGGTCGTGGCAGAGGCATTAGAGGCAGAGGGATCAGAATAGCTCCCACAACCCCTTCAAGGTACATTAGCTCTTACTTGAAATAAATTAACAGCAAACATGGATGGCAAGCCTTGGCCGACCTGCCCTGTGCCATGGTCACAGGTAGGAATAAACAACAACAGTGGCCACCACGATAGAAACCATGACAGTGGATGCTTATATAATGCATAAGCTCTTTCATAAATTAACTCACCAAGCCTTCCATACCAGGCTTAAGTATCATTCACAGGTGACAGATTGAGGTACAGAAAGGTGTCGAGAATTTGCCCGAAGTTTCATAAGCGGTCTGACTCTAGAATTCACAGGTAGAGCTCTTAACAACTATCTTAAGAAAATAAGAGGCATAAACCTGAGACTTTCTTTGTGGTTCTGTCCTCAGGATTAGAGCATGCAGATGATACAATTCTTTGCCTTTTTTGAACCAGGATGATCTTGCATAAAGAGAAAGTTAAAAATGTGTCTGTGCCTTAAGTGGCCCTTGAATTGATAGTCTTTCTGGATAGGTAGAGAGACAGGGATGAGGAGCTAGGTAGATAGATGTTTAGATAGATAGGGAGAAAATATATGCACCACTAGTCCAGAAAGCCAGAAAGGCATACTTCTTATATGGCTGATGGTAAGAGTATTCAAAGTTCAGGTACATTTGACTTTGGAATGCCTTTGGTCAGCAGAGAGGATTTTATTTGATATTATTCACTTCACACAGACACACAAAATTGGGATCTTTCTGCATCAGAATTTGTTTTGTATGACTCTGAATTAGTCCAGCTTTCAACAGAAAGCACTGATTTGTGAAGAGGTAAAGCAAAAAATACTCATAGCCTTCACACACAGACTGTGTAATTCAATCATTCTCTCTACCCTGTTAGAGTTGGCCTTCAAATCTCTAAAGGATATAGATCTAGAATATTATTTCATACACTGCATAGAAATCATCATTAGAGATTTTAGGATACTTCGCTGATTCAATTTACTTAATAAATTATGCCCCAAATATTGTCAACCACCAGTGTCAAAAATCAGTTTTAACATTTAAATCATAAACACCTCCATTTTGCAGTTAATCAGAAAAAAAATAAAAAATGATAAATATCCAAGTAAACTACCAAGGCAATGGCTATTTAAAAATAAAATGTGTCAATTCTGAAAATTACATTTGACTAAAGGAAAACTTTTAAAATCTTCCAGAGATTATTACATTTTTATCCCTAAAGATGAAAATAAGTGCTCTCTAATGCTAATTAGCTAATTATTGCTAAAAATTAATGTGGCATAACTTTTCTTATGGACATACTTTTATGGAATCAGTCTTTTATAAAGTCTTGTACATTTCTAAGCTCATCATGATGGGTTGTGAAATGATATCATTACAGGTAATCTTAAATTGATTAAATCATGTGCCTTAAATAATGAAACTGTCACTTTTGTAATTCCCCAAATGCCAAATTTTATATGGTGTAACCTAGTATATATTGAGTTTTATATAGTGTAACCTAATATACATTTAGAAAGTCTACAGAGGGGGAACAAGTTTTTTCTATTCTTTATTCCTTGAAATTAGGACCATTTTAAAAAAATGCATTAACTTACTTTTGAGATTATAAATTTGTATTAATATATTTTATTTTGTTATTGATGCTCCTTAATGTATCATTATATTTCAGAATTTCAGCAGACCATATAAGATTCAATTTCAGTACAGTTTCATTCTAAAATATTAATATTTATGGTTTAATAAAAAATAGTGCATTGTGGTCTAGTTTTTTAAGTGTGCTAGAAAAAAATTGTTTGAAAGTTTTGCTTTTTAAGAACACATATATCATACAAATCTGATACTACCTAATGTTGAAATTTAAACCTCACTTCAATGCTATATTGATATCATCAATGTATTAACGTTAATGAAAGTAAATGGACCAGAATTCTGCTGTCTTCTATTTCAAACCACATGATGGAAAGTATCTACAATTAAAAAAGAATAAGGAAACAGCTTTACAAAACAGAAGATCATATTGATTAGGAAGCTCTTGAAAACATGAGTTAATGGAAGCTAATTTGTATATACTTAGGAAATTATGACTTTATTAAGTCTTTCAGTTACACTTATATTCAAAAAGAATGGTGTCTGGGATATTTGAAAACTTCTATAATAATTTATTGGAAATGTATTTAATTAAAGCAATTTTCATTTTAATAAATATAGGCATAAAAACTAATCTTCCAGTAATTGTGCATACCACAGAACAAAGCATTATGTCTATATGTTATAATAATTTATAGTACATAATTGAAGAATTAAGATATTTGACATCTCTGACACACATCATCACTATATATTGATTGAGAGCAAACTGAGGAAAATGAAACATTAGGGGCAGATTTTGGAGGCTTTGTTTACTACGATGAGAATTAATACATAGCACTAATGGAGTTTGTGAAAGAAGGGAGTAGTCATACTTGTTTCTAAAGAAGACTATTCAGTCTTCACTGTAAGTGAGAGAGAAGAATTAAAGCACTGAAAGAGGGACAAACAGAAAGACACTGACTTATGGCAGGGAAGCCAGTAAGAAGATACGTCCATTATCCAAGACAGAAATGAACATTCCCTGGACCGTGGAGATATAGGACTAGGTTAGAGATTAGAATTTATAGGAATTAGTGCCCAGTTAGATGTCGGAGAAGAAAAAATATTTGGCCCACGACAAGGATAACTCTCTGATGTCTAACCTAGTTAGGGATGAATGACATCATCCACTAAGATTAGGTGGAGAACCAAGTTAAACAAAGAATAAAATTATTCCTATAATTAATTCAAGGTCTGTGGATTGCTCGTGTGACCTTAGCAGGTGACTTGTACCTTCTGTGTAACTTGGTACTCAACCTTTAAAGTATCTCAGGAGTAGCTACATAACAACGTCATCAAGGTTTTTAAATTAGATAATACATATAAGGCAGTGGTTCCCAAATTGATCTGCACACAAATCCCTGAGAGACTCCTGCCATTTGAGATTATGATTTAATTGGCCTGGGGTGTGGTCTGGAATTTAGAGTTTTTCAAAGTCTTCAGGAGATTGTAATAGACAGACAAGTGAAGGAACCTCCGATATGAGGCATATAATCCAGGATATGGCACGTGTTAGGAAGGAAACAGGTAATAGTCATCATTAGTGTTAGAGAATGCAAGAGTCCAAAGAAGGCGTTTTCCAGCTAGTTATCAATCCACAGTGACACATGTAATAAGTGCAGTGGAATGGGGACTGTTTGGGTTTGGAAACTGCTAGGTTACTGGTAATCTCAGTCAAGATAATTTTCAACGAAGTGGGTAGGCAATAACTAGATTGTATTCAAAGACTTTCAAGAAATCAGAAAAATGGAGGATACTGTAATGTAGATTCATCCAGGAATGGTATCCTAAAATAGGTGATGTGAGACTTCAGCTGAATCGGAGAAGAGAGATGTGAGATTAAAATTCCAAGGAAAGGACACCGCCTATAAGAGGTGTTGAGTCAGAGTCAGGAGACAGGTTTCTAGGGCTGTGTCTGGGACATAACTGAGGGAGGAATAGGGTGAGAAATTACGTTTGATGTGAGCATCATTTTTTTAATTTTACTTTTATTTTAATTTATTTATTTTTTTAGAACGAGAGCTTGCGTGGGGAGAGGGTCAGAAGGAGAGGGAGAGAGAGAGAGAATCTCAAGAACACCCCCTGCTGAGCACAAAGCCCCACGTGGGACTCAATCTTATGACCCTGAGATCATGATCTGAGCCAAAATTATGAGTCTACGCTCAACTGACTGAGCCACCCAGGGGCCCTGAGCATCATATAATTTTGAAGCAGGAAGAATTGTTACAGATTCAGAGATTCAATTTTACCCATTAGGAAAAAAAAAAAAATCCACCTTAAGCCTAGGGAGTTAGTTATACTACTTACTTACCTCTGATTATTCAGTGGGATAGACAGCACTTGTGAATGTAGTGTAGATATAATTTACTACCCACACCTGGGCACTCTGAGAGTGTTAAAATGCTCAACTAAACGGGAAGCTAGGACAACAGTTGTAAATCAGAACTGTTCTAGGCCAACCCGGACATATGCTCACCCTACTTAGGAGGAAACAGAGAGATGTTTGGAGGCCCAGTGAAGGTAAAATTGGTCTTTACATCCTTTTTCATAGATGTGTTTTATATTATCATGGTAATATAGTATAGTGTATTCTCAGCTATTATTGTATTTGAAATGGGCACTGGGCCTTCTGGATCTTTTGTATTTCACCTTCCCCAATCCAGGAGAACATTCTCTGTACATTAGACTTACAATAAATTGTCTGATAATTTCTCTATTCATCAGCTCTATAATCTATTTAAAACTTTTAAGAACTCTACCAGCATTCTTACCGTCCGCTCACAAAAGCTCATTTTCCGCAAGCAAGAAAGAGCCAGCTGACTGCTATTCATAGCTGAATGCATAACCTCCATCCCCCATCCGTGGGCACGGCCAAACAGTGTGATTGTTGACATCCCCACGATCATCATTTTCCCCAAAGCTTTAGTGTTCCTGCTGAAAGCAGTGCTTTCTGGAGGCCAGCCTTTCAGACATAATAAAAAGTGAAATAACCACGCTTTTGCCCAAAGACTTCAAACACTCAACCTTTCCAAAGGCCTTGGAAAACCATAAAAGTTGGCTGCAACCATTTGATCTCAGGCTGTTAATACAAGTTACTTTTGTGTCAAGCACCGTAGTACAGAGCATTCCTTCTACTCTTTTATCGCAGAAACCTGACGTATTTCACTAACACCGTAGTTACCATAGGCAAACAAATTATATTAGTGACTGTACCAGTTCAGGGGGTCGTATGCCTGATGACAAATCAGTGACAGTGAGTTGTGGTTTCAACGACCTCAAGCTTCAGCTACTAGAATAAGCAGAATGATATCACCGTGCTTCAAGTTCCACATTTTATTAAAGTGTGAAAGTGCAGACAGATTTTTTTTTCCTTTGTAAATACAACATTGCACCTCACTGTCAGTTACCTCCAGCGCAGAGGAGACATTGACATTCAGCAGTTCAGTTTCGTGGGTGGTCTGGCGGGTCATCCAGGTTTCCCCTGCTATCCAGCATGCCTGTGAGACCTTTCATAAGCTGAAATGGCATAAAGCAAAGAAGCAATTACCATTAACTTATATGGAAATTTTTTTGAGTGTTCCCAGACCCCTGAAAAATAACCTCTCAGGCTTTTCTGGTACCTTAGGACACATCCTGGTAATGGATCCACAAAATAAACGAAGATAAAGCACAGATGTTCACACAGTTCAAAGCTCTGAGGGCTGGGTATGGAGATGCTAAGTGTAGTTCTTGGGGAAGAAGCTTGGTGGGGACACTCTGGCTGCTCAGGGTACATGCTACTCCTATACTGACTTGCTACCAAAAAAAAAATGCTCAACACTATTTTTGCTTTTCACCTTTTTTCATAAAAGTGGAAATCGTCTTCTGATTTCTTTCAGTTAGCGAAAACAGGTGCCCATGTACGTCTTTTGTAAAAGCAAAGTTGGCATATGGTGAACTTTTAAAAAGCAGGAAATACTTTGTGTGTTAGCTGAAGCTCTGATTTGGGTCTGCTTGGAAAAACTGGAATAAAATGAGAGTGGGTTGGTTTGTGTTCATTTTTTTTCCATTTTATATTAAAGCATTTTGCATGAGTTTCATTATGAGAAGTTATAGCCAACATTTACAAAATTTATTCTACCGTAGAGGTCAAAATACTTTATACCCTAAAGAAACTCAATTACACACACACACACGCACACACACACACGCACACACACACCCGGGAGCACTCATGCATACAGATAAATTTGGTTTTCTTCCTCTCATATGGCGATAAGATGGGAATGCTATATTTTAGTCTCTTTCTCTCATCCCCGATTTCTCATCTGTACATGACCTGTTTCTCCTAGGGGCCGTGGGGGTGCCATTCCTCCCCCACCACTACCTGGACGAGGTGTACTCACCCCTCGAGGGACTACTGTGACTCGTGGAGCTCTTCCAGTGCCCCCTGTAGCAAGAGGTGTTCCAACCCCACGAGCCCGGGGGGCACCGACAGTGCCAGGATATAGGGCACCCCCTCCTCTAGCCCATGAAGCTTATGAAGAATATGTAAGTACCCTTGAGAAATGAGTGGTTGGGAAGAGTTCAGCTGGTTGGGTAATAGGTTAACCCTCAGAGACACTCAATACCATGAATGTAGCAGATGACGTTTGTCACAGAAAACAAAGGTCATTTGCAACAAAATTTAAGCAGCACATTTAAAGGAGAGCATTTTGAGAAAACTTTTATTTTCCAGGTACCATGATTGTTGGTGCCAGTTAAACAGTTTGCATTTTAAGAGTCAAACTATCCTGAGGTTTTCTTATTCTTTAGAAGATCAATTTCAAAATGGATTTAATTATGAATATAATGTAAATTGTCATATACTCAGAAGTTTCTTCTAGGACATGTTAAAGATGAGCATAAAAATCACTCAGAAGCATTTGACAGACATAATATAATTGCATTATAAACTTTGGTAAGAATGTAAGATCACGTGACTGGTCTTTCATTTAAATATCCTTGCTCTCTCTTTTACCATATGAAATATACAGGATTGGCAGATGTGAAGAATTCAAAAAATATAGAATGAGCAGAAGGAATGATGTGTCTATAAGCATTCTCCTCCCTTCCCAACCACTGGGTCACGATATACACCCTTTGACCTTTCATCCAGGTTGTTAATATTCCACTAATCACATGTATTCTAGTCCTGGTGACTAGAATATTGTGAAAATTATAAAAAGGGACAGGTTCTTAATCACTTGTGTAACCATAGTAATCTACTGTAAATGTTAAAGTTAATTGATGCAAGCCAGTCGTCATCTTATGAAATAGATTCATTTTACCTTTAAACTTTCGAGCAAGCTCATCCCTGGTCTGGGTGTTTATTTCAACTGAACCACGCACAGACACACTGTCTTCTTAAATGTCCTCTGTGAGTGGTTACTTATTAAACATAAACTCTTAAAAAATAATAAAAAAACAACAACATAAACTCTTCAAGGATAGTCACATGCTAGACACTCAAAACATATAAATGTTTAATGAACCGGTTAATAACAAAGTAAAATATATTCTAAAACAAAGTGAACATTATCGATAGGTGTCACTAAAAAATGTATTAGCGCTTGGAGTATGTTAGTATTTAGAAATAACGTTACTGCTTAATATGGAACATTGATTATATTTGCAAGAGTGAAGAAAAATTAAGTTTAGAAATCCATTTCTACTGGAAAAGAAGAAATACATCCATCTAAAGTATGTTTTATGCCAAAAAAATGTCTTTTATACGGTATCAGGTATCAATATTTAAAATCTTTCGACAATCTTAAAATTGCAAAATTGGAAACAAAATGTATTCTATCCTGTGAACAAGACTACAAGACAGGGAACACAGAGCCTAGTCTTGATTCTGCCATCTCTTTCCTGAGATATATAATGTATGAAATATGAATTTTTGTTAAAAATCCACAACAGGGATGGTGAGGTTTTGGGGGTTTCTTTTTTGTTTGTTTTTTTTTAAGTCTCCAAGAAACCTTCTACCTCTGCCATCTTTATGTACATTGCTACTCTGGTGTGTTTGTATCTTCCAAATAGAAGTTTAAATAGTCAGATCTTATTTCAAAAACTAAAAGAGAGAGAAAACTTTTTCAGTTAATTGTGGTCAACACTGTTATTAACCAGAAAATGTATATGGGATGTGAAATTTATAGAGCACTGTGAAAGAGAATAAGATTGGCAAAACATTGTAGCTTTGGTATAGCTAAGAAAACACTGTAGCCTTCCATGTGCATTCCAATTTATAGTCAGATAAATCACTGGAACGCAGACCCAGTAAGAGTAAGCTACAAAAGCATAAAGAGTCTATAGCAACATGAGTGAGAAAGTTTATATTCTCAATGGAAATCTAGGAGGAGGGTAGTTCTTAGAGTGAGTAAAGGAAACTATGTAGAGTCATATAATCTGAATTTTTTACTTAGATATTTGAAAAGTATCCAGTCCCTTTTATTCATTCACCCAGTCATTTACTGAGCCTCGCTCTTATTGTAGGCACCGTTCTGAAAGTCCTGGAGATGTAGCTGTGAACAAAACAGATCAAACAGCTGCTTCCTTAAAGTTCACATTTTAGTGGGAGGAGAGCAAACACATATCACTGAGTGAACCAAGTAATGCAAGGTAGACATAAATGCTCTGGAGTTAGTGAGAGGCCGCTGCTGTACCATGGTCTGTCGGGGAAGGTCTCTGTGCTGGCAAGACTTGAACAAATGCATCATGAAGCAAAGGTCCAGGCTCAGGGGCTGCCTCCATAAAAGGCATCACTGGTAAAGGAAACAAGGAGTACAGATACCCTGAAATGGAACCTGCTTGGAATATTTGGGGAACAGCAAGGAGGATATTATAGCTGGAACAGGATGTGTGAGGCAGAGGTGGTAGATGAGGTAAGGTCAAGGGATGGACAGAACTTTTAGGCAGGAGAGTGACATGATCAGATTTATGTTTTAAGAGGTTTATTCTGCTGACATCTGGAGAACAGAATATGGGGGTGGGCACAGAGTAGAAACAGAGACGGGCAAGTGACTTTTTGCAGTCATTCCCCATGGACAGAATAATGGCTTGGAGGGGATGAGAAGAGATCAGAGTCTGAGAGCACTGGGAAAATGATCTGTTAGGATTTGATGATGCGTTAGATGTAAAACTTGTGAAAAAAGAAATGAAATGAAATCTTTGTGAAGTTTCTGTGAAGTGCAGGTTACACTGAACCTTGAACTGAACAAGTGGGTTAAATCGAGGGGTCCTTTATTGAAATGAGAAGTGCCAGAGAGGGAAGGGGAAAATCTAGCCTGAGGGAAAGTCAGTTGTGTTGCTGGAGGGAAGGAACCTGACTTGAGAAACACATAGCTGTATCCCGAGGTTTGCATTCTCACCACGTCACTTGCTCTGTCATTTGTAAATACTTGGGCTTGGATTTCCCTTTCTACTGGAAAGGGGAAATGTGTTCATCTAACGTATCTTTGATACAGTATCAGGTATCACTATTTAAAATCTTTAGACAATCTTAAAATTGCGAAACAAACAATAAATATACTCTCCCCCATAAACAACCCTCAGGTCAGGAAACCCAGAGCCTAGTCTTCTGCCATCTCTTTCCTGAAATCTAGTAGGTATGACATAAGTACCTATTGAATGAATAAATTAAAAATCCACAACAGAGATGGTGTGTGTGTGTGGGGGGGAATCATATGAATAGAGAGTCATGAAATCCAGTAATAGCAATGCCATCAGGCCTGAAGAAAGGTCTAGAACAAAGAACCAGAAAATTGCCAAGAATCCTTATATCTCATGTCTGTTCTCTGCATATATGTTTCTTTTTTTAATTTAAATTCAATTAGCCAACATATACTACATCATTAGTGTTCAACGATTGATCAGTTGTGTGTAACACCCAGTGCTTGTCACATCACGTGCATATGTTTTTATTCACTTAATCTACATACTGGATTTTATTGCCGTCTCTGATCAATGTTTGTCCACCCTAGGGCTGCCATATTCATGACCAGTCCTTGTCACCTACAGATACTGACTGGTTTGTCTGTCTCTCAGTCCTAGTCTAGATCCCCAGCGAGGGAATCATGTTCACCCAGGCTTGTCAAGTGTCCAACACTAGTCAGTCAGCTATGACTAGAGAACAGTTTCTGGAAACTAAGTCTGGGATCTACTACTTCCCAGCCACCAGTGGCAAGAATAGGGTAAAGGTCAAGTTCACACAATATAAGCATGCTTACTGGGAGCCCAACTCCAGGGAGAATATGAGGAGATTCCTTCTCTAGTTTCCAGAGAAAGAGAAAATATTATGAACTTGTCAGATATCCTGAAATATATCTCCAATATCTTAGTCTTGGTAATAGGAAAAGGTAGATAACTGTTCTTCAAAAACCCCTTTATGCTATGTTTCCTTAAAAACTGTCATATGTCATATTTTAATTTTTCCCCTATAAACAGTGAGTATGTACAGAGTTTAATGCATGGCTGATAAGCTGCTGACAGCAATCTTTAAGGTCTCAGTGCCAAGCTCAGATTAACACTCAAGAGCTGCTCCTCTCTGCTCTAATTTTAAACTATTGATTCCTCTGTAAGGGGTAAGAAAAACAAAAGTTTAAGTGTCTCAGTAACAAAATAATAGCACCATGCTGAGTTGATGGTAAAAATCTCAAAGGAGTTCTTAACTTTCAGATAAAATTTCTTAGAAAAGGTTCCCTTTATTATAAATGACACTGGAGCCAATTCTCTTTTCAGACTTTTCTTTCTCCCCTGCTGGGTCCCAGCATTAAATTTCTGACCACACAGAATGTATATATGTAATCAAATCCACTCCTTGCAGCTTGCCTGACAAGCAACAGCTCACAGTAAAGGAGATTGCTGTTTAAAGCCGCCATTAGTGTTAGTGGAGTCTTAAAAAATGTGAATTTGTGTCTCATGGTTACACATCCTAATCCAGACTTTAAATATTTTAAAGTTTCTTTTCACTGACTTCCTACTAAGAGGTACATTTAAATTTTACAGATCCATCATTGTGATTAAAGTAGATTTCGGGAATTGAAGAGTAGCGTTCAGAAAATCTCCTACCTGACAAAATATGAAGCTGATCAGCTCTATCAGTGGATAATATGTTAAGAAAGGGTAAACCAAAACATGAATTTTTGAGTATCTACCAGGTTCCAGGCACTGTATTAGTTCACTTAATCTCTTAATAAATGACGACCAGTTGTTCATGAGCTATTTTAGTAGATGAGGAAATTGAGACTTGAATGCAGTTTCCGGTCTCCAGATCTCTGGATCTCTGTCATCATAAGCTTGCCTCACAGAGAACTCACATGCACGAATACAAACCATTTGTGCTTCATACCTCCCATCCAGACCCCTAGTCAGTGTTTGAATCCCCTCAGCCGTATTTAGGACATCTCCCATCCCTACAGGAATATCTCTGACTATGGAAAACTCAGTATCTTAAGAAACTAGGTGCTGGAAATATAAAGGCTGTGGTTAAAAAGACCTCTACTCTGAAAAGC